AAAAAAAAAAAAAAAAAACAACACAAAAAAGAGCGCAGCCTTGATAGACCTCATTTTGCTCCTCCCCTGAAATAGAAGCATAAATGAATGAATTCACCATGGACAAGGAAAGCCGCGCTCAAAAAAAAAAAAAGAAAAAAGATGAAGGACAAGGAAGTGCGGGAAGCGACGAGTGTGGGGGACCTCACAGCGCAAGCAGTTACGAAGAAAACGACCTAGGCCTAAACAGTGATCCTCCCGACAATGATGCCTCAGATAGCCAAGATGAAATGAGCGACCTAGATAATCTTCCAGAGTACGAAAGGGAATTGATTCTGGCCAAGAGACATGAAGAACACATGATAAAGGAACACCGAAGGATTCTACTAAAGAAGGTTAAACCCAAGTTGGAAGCAGAAGGAAGAGATCAGGACGATGATGCCAATTATGTATTGCAGGGGGGCAAATTAGTCGCCACTCCTGTAGGTAGTAAAGCCGCACTAGGGAAGGGGAAGAAGAAAGTTGCCCTTCCAGCGATGGACAAAGGAGACGTATCGGGTGGTAGGTCTACCAAAGAAGGGGTAAGAGGAGGAGAAAAACAAAATAAACATATTTTGAAGATGGGAAGGGGAGGTACCACTGTGGAAAAAAACTTACACAAAAGTGATTCACATGATGAAATGAGGAAAGGGAAGGATTCTTCTTTATCACAAATGCAGGAGAGGGAGCAGGTAACTAAGAGGGGAGAAAGGGAAAAGTTTGGTTACCAAACTGGTAGAGGGAAGGGTGGAACAAAAGGGGACGACGCCAAGGGAAGGCGCTTAAGCAAAGTGTACAGTGAGACGGAGGAGTCTTCCCCCTCAGACGATTCCCTACGTAGAAAGAAGAGCGCAAAAAAAGAAATGAAGAAAAAGGAAATTTTACACACACAGGAGGAGGAGCAGGAAGGAGGAGTTAGCAAACTGTTCGATGTGACCTCTTCAGATGAGAGGAACGAGTTGTACTCGAATGACAAGGGGGAGAAGAGAGAAGACTGGAACAGGAGAAAGAAAGTGTTGAAGAAGGGCTCCCACTTGTATGAAAGTAAACAACCACCGCGTCATAAGCTGTCCGACTATGATGATGGTGGTGGTGAGGGGTATGACAGCCGCGATAGTCGCGATAGCCGCCCACGTGAGAACAAGAAAAAGAAGAAGAAGAAGAACAACAAGCGGGCAGACCGCTCACCTAGTAGAAGCGTGACAAAAGATCACCAGCAAGGGAAGAGACTGTTCGACGATTCGAAAGACGGAAGTGATTATTACGCAGGAGGAAAGGGAGAGCAATTTGCAAAGGAAACATTAACACCTGAACGGTTAATACAACTTTATAGAGAAGAGAAAAAAATTAAAATGGAAATTTATAAATATATGACCTACGAAATTATCACCTACTTTCAATTAAAAAAAACCTTACTCCTAGACATGAGTGAGCATATAAATTTTGCTTACCATGTCATTGGTCACCTGGTTAAAGTTAATGATGTAAATCTCCTGGTTAGACTGTCCAGTGGGGAAAAAATAAAAAATGACCCACTCGGAAATAACCCCCGTGGGGGCACCGCTGGTAGTGGTAAGAATGCCCCCCCTGAAGAGAGAAGGAAGGTGAAAGACATGAACGTAGCCAATGAGGAAGGGGCCACTACGATAGCAGAAGAACACACAAACCAAAACGTTAAAAAAAATATTTTCTTCATAACCAACGTTGTGCAAAGTGAAAATTATTTCTGCATTGACAGACACACAAATGTAAAATTTGAAATAGCTCATTTGGAGAATGTAGAAGATGTGAATTTCTTCACTCGAATGAGGAATCAAATGATTAAAAACAAAAAGCTACACATAAATGAATTAACATCACATGATAATTCTTTCGCCCCCCCCCTCATCCCCCATGCTGGTAGTAGTACCTACCTCTCCGATCTGAATAACATATCGGAACAAAAATTTTCCGTGGATGAGTATAACTGCATAAAATTATTTTCCAACGATTTGCAAATGTTAAAAAATTTTCACCAATTCTTAAGAGAAAAAATTGAAGACTTAAAAAACTTTCGTTATACAGAAAGACAAATTGAAGAGTTGATTGAAATGAAAAAGAAGCAGAGCTTCCATGAAATTTTTCGTAACAAGAAAAGTTTGGAGTCTGTGCCCATCTCGCGCATCACTGTGCAACGGGAAATTTGTTGCATCCAGCGGGAAATCGATCGGCTCCATTTTGTGAAGAAGAAAACCAACCCCCGGGACCTGCATGCCCTGGCGCAGCTGGGGCAACAGATTGATGCCCTCACGAGGAAGAAGGACATCCTGAAGGGGCAGTTGCAGAAGGCGCGAGGTAAAACGACGGAGAGAGAGACCGCAGCGCTGTGGAGCGGTGGAGCTGTGAAGCGGCGGCTACGATTTTTCTTCTGCGTTACGTCCGCATTACGTCCATTTGCATAACTCATACACGTATGTCACCCCTGCATAAAATATCCCCCCCATTTCACAGCCACGGTGGCGCCCAACAAAACCCTTGAAGGTGCCCACCACGAGCGAGATAAAAACGTCGCCAAGGAAAAGACCCTCAAGAGTTACAGGACAGCCCCCCTCATGGAGGAACTCCCTCACAAGTTTTTAGGTATGCCGTTTGCACCAATATGGGGAACGAAGCATGGCATTTATTTGGGTTCCTTTTTTTTTTTTTTTTTTGGCTAACCCATGACGGATGTCGAATTGCTCATTTCACATTTCACATGTCCCATTCACAGGGGTGGAGGAACGGAGAGGCATCTCCCAACTGGCCAATTACATCCACGAAGAAAAAAAAAGCTTTATAAATTTTGTTACGAGGAAGTTTCTGGATCTGCCTCTGGACGCGCACAACAGAATTGTCAACCATTTTCTGCTAGGCTGTCTACAGAGGGATCAGGTAAAAAAAAAAAAAAAAAAAAAAAAAGAGCATCCATGGGAGATGACACGAATTAGTGTCCTTCCCTTGATGCGCTCTAGGGATTGGTCATCGTTTAGTGTTTGCACGTGTACCGGCATAACACACTTGGGGACCATTTCACAGTCACGTCTCCCCCCCACCGCTACGTTGTCGCTATGTTCACTTTTGCGCTTCTTTTTTTTTTTTAGGCCTATTTGGACAAGCCGCCGTTGGACAGCTCGGAGGAGGAATCGGGGGAGGACTACCATCTCTTCGGGGGTAACAAATGACGAAAAAAAAAAAAAAAAAAAAAAAAGCTCACCAAAAGTGCGCATAAAAATGCGCTCCAAAGATTCACACATGTGAATAATATGTAACATATATTTACGCCCTACACATATGTGTGGTACTACGGCACCCATTTCTTGAATCATCCCTTCAGTCAACATTGCAAATCGTGTAACTCCCTTCGAGGAGCTCAAGCAGAAGAATTTTAACTGACCCGACTAGCTGCTCAACATACAAACGGAAAGGTGTAGATGGTGTTGTTATAAATGACCCCCCCCATACGGGGCGCACTCTCTCCCAGAGGATTTGCTCCACCCCATCGGATCATGCTGCAGGAACTCTACTGATGGATGGGCACCCCCCTTATCCCGCTCACACAAATTAGTCATTCAAAAAATGGGTCAGCTTGGAACAAACGGCCACTGTGGACAGGGGGAGGTCCGACACGCGGATGACATAATCCAAGCGGAAAGCCTCAGAGTCGCTTTTCGAAATTGATTCAATAAAGTGTGTTAAATCAAATGCAGTGGACAGAGAAAGGAAAAATGAATAATCGTTCGTTGTCTCCTTGATCTTCTTTGCTAGCTTTTTTACGTCTGTGGGAAAACCCATGTTCGAAATGCCGATGCAGCTGCAGAGGGAAAAAAAAAAAAGGCGAAGAAAAAATGAACAGTGCGGTGGACATTATATATATATATATATATATATATATATATATATATATTTTTTTTTTTTTTTTTTTTTTTTATGGCAACTTACACGGAGGATCCCACGTATCGCTTGACCGGGTGGGGCAGAACCTTCAGGAGGGGACGCCCGTCTGGGTCGAGCACGACATTCCGTAGCATCAAATTTAACATGACCTTTTTAAAAAGGGAAAAACTTCGAGGTACCCGAAAGGATGGAGACACAAAAATTAGTAACCCGTTAACTGTATGCACATAAATTTGCAGCTTGCCCCTTTTGTTAATAATACTGTCACGCAAACTTAACAAAGTAAAAAAAAGTACATCCAACCGTACGTTCTTGAGTTTATTTTCTATTGCTTCCACTTTGGTCTTGAGGAACACCTGCTCCTTTGTACTCCTTGCAGCTGATAATGAATCCTCCACATTTTTTAATTTGCTCTCCAGCAATGACATGTGCTCATCAGCATTTATAACGCACGTTCTCTTTCCTATGCTGGTAAGGGCCAGGGGCGAGAACAGAAGGAAAATTCTGAAGACTCCTTTTGGGGGTTCACCCACTTCGTCCTCGTCAGCTTCGTCCTCGTCAGCTTCGTCCTGGTCACCTTCGTCCTGGTCACCTTCGTCCTGTTCGTCACTGGGCGGGTGTCCACCAACCTCTTCCTTCCCTTCGGAAGAGTCCAATGGGTTTTCTTTTTCAGCACAGTTTTTATCTTGTCCCTTTTTGAGGTTGTTCATATACTCCACGTAATCTACGTAATCCACGTGATTCGTGGTGGGCTGCTGGTCACTGTTAACACGGGGCTCCTCCCTACTTGTTGCTTCCTCTGCAGGGTTGGTTTGCTCCATGGGGGCCTCTCCTTCCTCGCTCGCCGCCGAGCTGTCGTTGTCGTAGTAGTACGCGTCGCCAAATGTGTGTGGCCCGTTTTCATCCTCCTGGTTGGCTGCGTCTCTTCCATATATCCCTCCCTCATGGAAGTACCTGTCTGTGCCGTTTCTGCTTTTTCTTCCTGCCCCATGGAAACCACCCTGGTGTTTTCCCTTTCCAACTCCTCCTCGCATGTTGCTACTTCGATGACCGTTTCGGAACATGCTACTTATTAAATCTGTAATGGGCTGTTTTGTTCTGCATTGAAAATTTCCCTTCCATATAGTAACATCATCTGTCGTTTTGTACAAATGATATATATATTTTTTTTTTTTAACTTTCCCCCCACTTATATGCAGTAGTAAAGGCTTCGTTCAAAAACTTGCCTTTTGCAACAAAATGTTCTGTAACTTGATTTGGCTGCTGTCTCGCAAGGGGGGGTTTTTTCTGTTTTTTTTTTTTTTTTTTTCGTTTGCGTTTCTCCTCCACGGTTTGTCCCCGCGCAGTTATCCAGACGGATGATATTATATCCTTTCCTTTGTTGAGAAATGCAAAGCGTAGCGCATTCACGGTGGGTAGTCTTCACCTGCCCCATGCGCCCTCCCACTTTTGTGAATAGAAAAAAAAGTATGCGCGCCACGGGATTTTAAAAAACGCCTGTACAAAAAAAAAAAAAAAAAAAAGCTATCCAGAAAAATGAATGTATACCCAAAGGGTATATTATCTGCCCATGTTTTTTTCTTTGTTTTGTTTCCTTTTTCCCGCTGGTTTATAACAAAAACAGTTTGTACAAAAGGAGAAAAGAACAAATAAGTCCACTACGTGGTTTCTGTTTTCTGTGCGGTCCACTCTTCCGCTGTAACGGTCGCCGTGTCAAGATACGAGACTTTTTTTTTTTTTTTTTTTTTTCCCTTGCGGGGATATAGGCAAATATAGCCATTTCTCGTATGAATAAAAAAAAAAAAAAAAAAAAAGAACAATCCTTTGAGTTACCATTTCCAACTTTTCCCATTTGGCATATGGCCCTCAAAATGAAAACGTCTTTCTTCTTGTTCCCAGCAGAGAGGGGGCAAAAACATACGAAGCGCTACTTTTTTAAAACTGCTGAATGGTGAGAAATATTTTACCATTTTTGCAATATGCCCCAAATTTGGAGCAAACCCTTGTTTTCATAAAAATACTTACCATGATCGACCACGAGAGACGAGTACGCTCGGCCAAAAATTGAATTCCTCTTTTTATCACCCAAGTTAAGCAATAAAAAAAAAAAAAAAAAACAGTAAAACGAGGTAGGGGATAACTGTTTAACAGGATACGACAAGATAACGTGTAAAATGAAGTGAGACTTTCTCCAATTCGCAGCTGCTAACTTTGTGCCCCCTCCAAAATGAAGAAGAGAATCCTCTTCTCAAGTAAAAACCGCCACATAAAGAACAAAAACTACCTTCGGAAGAAAAACAAATATTTCACGGACCAAAAATTTCTTCGCAAGTTTAAAAAGTTTGCCAAATCTGAGGAGCCAAAGAAGGAGTTAGTTCGGAGTGACCCCATAAAGGACTTCTTCTTCACGCCCGAGCGGGCCCACCGGGATGCACAAGCAGAAAAAAACACACAAGAGGATGAAGTAGAAGAAGAAGTAGAAGAAGGGCAGGACGAGGAAGACATAGAAACCGCCAATGCGGAGGAGGACAGCCAAGATGACCAAAGGGACGATTCTCCAATAATCACAAACCGCAACAACAGCGGCACACATCCCCTACGTGGAAACAAAACAAAAGGGAGTGCTGCGAAAAAAAAAAAAAAACCTCTTGCTGCATCGGAGGAAGGTCCCCAAGACAGCAGCGAGGATGAAACTCAAACAGAGCACCACAAGAACAACCATGGCAAGCATGGGAAATCTGTGTATAGTAAAGAAATTAACATAGCTTCTATGAAAAGGAAGCAGAGAGACTTGTACTTGAAGGAGAAAGAAGCAGCCATGAAGAAAAGTGAACAAGAAAAAAAAAAAAAAAAAATGTTAAGAATTAAAAAGTTTAAAAAATTAAATAGAAAAACAAAGAAGGGTCAGCCAATCATGAAGAATTTGATAAATCATTTGTTAAAAAAGATATGATTTTTTTTTTTTTTTTTTTTTTCGCGTCCTCCTTTTTACAGGCACTACATATAATATGTGTCCCACCTTTTTCCAGTGGGGCCTTTTTTGGTTTCAATTTTGTTTTAGTTTTTCACTCCACCTTTGCGCGTTCGTTTAAAAGACATTTCCCCCTCTACGCCTGTTTTGCCGCGTCTTCCCCTTTGAAGAATAAAAATGGGCCATGTTACACGAGGGGTAGTCTTTTACACGTGGTCGGTGTGCACTTGTGTAGGAGTGCATACAAACGCACCATATGCTTTCCATGAAGTTTTATATATTTTTTAAAAACAACAAATCAGCCAAAATGGCAACTCTCACAAACGTGTTATTAATTTTAATTCGATACAAAAAAAAAAAAAAAAAAACACATAAATTATCCTGTGCAACAAGGCACCTGTATGAACAGCACGAGGAGTCAAACACTATGTTGGGGAGTTACAAAAAAAAAAAAAAAAAAAAAAATT